CTGCTATCCTCTTTCGCTGCGTGTCTATCAGAAACCGCTGCCACCGCAGCCAGCAGCAGTGTGGATACCCTCAGGAACAGCGCAGGGGATTTTAACAGCGTGGGGCTCCAGACCAAGTTCTGTATCCAAAATAAACTGTCCAAACTCTGCCCCAGGCTGGTTTGAGAAGCACACATCTATTCCCCTGATCACCGGCCCTGCTGTCAGCTCTGTCTGCCCTTCAGGGCACCACATTTCATCACCAATTTCATCACTGCTACCTAGTTTGTGAGGTCCTGGGGTGACTGCAGGCCCTCGGCACGAAGCTGTGATAGTGCAGGCATGACTGCGATGGACTGGCTGTCTCTGCGTGACCCTGACCACAGATTACTTCCAACCATGACTGCCAGTGAGGTGCCCAACACCGCCCGGCTCCCAACAGGGCCAGAAGAGATGTTTTGAAGACACTACGAAGAGTCATCTGAGAACATCTAATACTCCTACAGCACTCCAGGCACCAGCTCAGCGTGACAGAGCTAAGTGGGGAGTAATGACAAAACGAGTACAAACCGTCAAGAAAACCACGTCTTTTGTGGTGCTGGAAACAAATGCGTGGGTAGCCAAAACCCAGAGAGACTCTTAATCAAAAGGAACCCAGCCTGAACCTCCCAGGAGAGGCAGGAGCTGTGCTTTGCCCTTGCCATGTGAGTCACATGGGGGCCCATTCATCAACGCAACAAAACCAAGTGAAGTCCCAGCTAGGCGGCTGCGGTTTGGGATTTTCCCCGTCTGTGGGCGCGGGGCAATGGCAGCATCCACGCAGCGCTGTGGGGGTCCATTTCCACCGAGGCGGCTGCGCGGACCTTGCAGCCCACGGGGCTGTATTGGTCGTGCATGCGCTTTGCAATAAATAAACCATCCAAACTCTGCCTCTGCAACAGCACAATGACGGCAGCAACACGCGTACAGGAGTCAGTGTGAGCACCCCTTCCCGATGCTGTACGGCAGGTCGCACGCCTCCCCAAGCGTGTGCGAGCTCGTGCGTGTCCCGGGCTGCCTCCTCTCCGCTGGGAGCCGGCTGCTCACGCCTGCGCCCCATGGAGCTGCTGGCAACAGCATCTGCTGTCGATCAGTCCCGATGCTCTGTGTGGGGAAGCCTCCTTATTCTTCATCCCAGGCACAAGGCTCATCGGAGATGCCACAGCGTGCAGCACTATGGAGCTGGGGATTTTTCCAGATGCCCTGGAATTAGTGTGGCGACTGTGCCACCTTGTGCCAGCAACACTTACAAATGCATTTTAGTCTCCCGCCTCTTAGATTTTGAAACCACGGTGCTTTGATTTTTCTCTAACGAGGCTAACCAGGGCTCTGCATCTCCTCCTTGGCACGGTCCTTCACTTCCTCTGGGTAAGGAGGGTGCATCTTTACCTGTGGCGAGGGAAGAGGCTGGCCTGCAGGCTCTGTGCTGCAGATCATTTAGTCTGGCTCTGGTCTCCTCTCTGCCTGTTGCAAATCAGACAGTCCCACTGACTCCAGTTGATGCTGCTGTAAATGAGGCACCCACAGTATGGCAAGCTGGCATCATGGTCCTAATAATGACGAGGCCATTTTACAACTGAACCACCTTAAGGGCTATTTGGATTTTTTTCAAATACGTGTTTTTATTCAGCCAGATGTGACATGGCCTATATGGGAAAAAGAAATGCAAGTCTTCACAAAAACCAGCCCGATCCTGACTCTGTATCCTGCAGCTCACTGGTTTAGAAAAAGATGCAGGGCTCACAGAGAGCAGACAACTGAGCAGAAACCAGTGTGATGATCCAGGCTGCTGAGTGCATAAGTAGGAGAGAGGCAGAGGCAGGTGATTTTTCTCCTGTACCTGCTGAGATGGAGGCGGGAGCCCCACGGACGGGAAGGGGCACATGCAGGGAGGAGACCCCAGGGTGATTCTAGGGCTGAAGACTTTGCTGACACAGATTCAAAGGGCTTAATCTCCTTAAACTTCCAAGAAGAAATCTGACTGTAATATGGCTACAGTGAGCAGGTACCTACACAGAACGTACAGCATGCTATATAGTTCTTCAATCTGATGGCGAAAAATAGGAAAATAACTAGTGGCTATAAGCTGAAGCCAGACAACTTCTACCTAGAAGTCATGCTCACATCTTTACCCTGGAGGGCAATTAACCGCTGGGACATACCCCCATGGGATATGGCAGGTTGGTCACTGCTTCCGCTCAAGGGCAGTTGGACTTTGGTGAAACCAGACAGCCTGTGCTCAACACACAGTGAAACCTAATGTCCCTCATTGCTTGCAGGCTGCAGGAGATGCTCTAACGGCATTAAACTATGAATCCTCTTTGGGCTTATATTTTACAAATCCACGGATGCTATATGACATTGTCATGCTAACGCAAGCTGTGTCTATCCCAAACGTCCCACAGAGCCGTGCATGGGAGCTCAGACTGGCCAGAGGGCAGCTGCTGTGCTGGTCAGATAAGAGACAGGAGATGGTTCAGCAAGGTAAAGCTGTGCAATGCATGGGCAACTACGAGGTGTTCCCATCACCTGCAGCAGCACATGGGAGCAGAAATAACCCCATGGGAACACACGTCTGTCTCTGCTCCGTATCAGATACCCAGAAGGTGGATTTGAATTCCCTTTTGTAAAGTGCTTCTGTTTAAAGCTTGGCCTTCCTGGGCCACCCCAAAGCTGGTGAAGCCAATGGCAAGACTCACGCAGTGATAAAGGGGTCAAATACATATAGGACAAGGACAAAGATACATCTAGGCAAGGCATGACCATAAGTCAGGGTTTATTCCCACTATAAGCCTGCTTTGCTGGGACATCCTGGGTCTCACTGCTGATGAAGTAGGACCTCAGCAGAGCTCCACAGCCTCTGCACAACAGTCTGTGATTGTTTGTGATACATTAAGGGTGTTTTCAGATGAAATACATGGAAAACCATTTTTAAAAATAAAAGCAAAACGGGATACCTCACACCTTCCCTCTTATCCTATGGGCTTTTCACCACGCCTCCCAGGGACCGGAGAGCACCAAGGCAATGCCATTGACAGGCAACAACAGAGGAAAAGACGGGAGGTGTATGGGAGGAGCCGAAAGGGCAGCCATGCATTACGCCCTTCTCTTGCCTTTCACATTCCCCAAGGTCCTGGCAGAGGAGCAGGAGCAGGGGGAAGAGCAAAGGTGTGCTCGGAACAAAAACAGATCAAGACAAGGAAACCCAATCAAAATAATACAGCCTCCAAGGCTCAGGCATTGCACAAAAGGAGGATCAGAAGTAAGCTGGGCTCTAAAAGGCAGAGATGACACCAAAACAGGGTGAGAGCGAGAATACAGGAGGGCAGAGAATAAAAGTTGATTCATCTACAGGAGGAGGAGAAAAGGAGGGAGGGGAAGGAGGAGAAAGAGGATTTTATTTTCTGGATTTGGGGGTTGGAGACGTGATTCTCATTTTTTTCTGTTTTCATTTTTTTTCATAAAAGATCTCACACCTGATATTCCTCGTTCCATCCATTTCGGTTCACCAAGGGCAATGAAGAAATTCTCCTGCCTTTCGTATTCCTCCTCATCTACTATCTTAACCCTTACGGTCTTCCTGTAGGGACAACAAGAGAGACAACCGTGTACAGTGGGTCGGCTGGCCGGAGGTGAGGTGGCAGCAGCGGCAGCAGCAGCGGCGGCACACGGGCTCCTGGCACACAGCCCCTTCCCCGGCGGGGCGGTGTGCGTCGGCCTGCCTGTTGGACACGGGGCATCCGTTGCAGCTGCTCCTTGGGGAGCGGGAGGTGTTAGGGAGAGAGGGGCTGGCGAGGGAGTTAGGAAGGAGGGAAAGCGGGAAGGTTGGACCTTGCTGATGGTTAGTGGGAGGCGACGTCTGCAGCGCATTTTTTTCAGTGTCACATGGTAATGGAAAGGGTATCGGCTGCCTGGAAATCACCAGGGACCATCCTGGGGTATCCACTGCATTTTACCTGGAAGATCAATTGCTTCTTCTACCCTCACAATTAAGAATAAATCTGCAGGGACTCTGGGCTGGGAGCCTGAGGAGAAGAGAGAGAGATGGGCACTCACAGACACGTTCCCCAGCGGGGTGAGGTGGGTCTCTGCTGGGAGGCTACAGCTCTATTAGCTGTGAAGGAGGCTGATATTTCTAATTACCATTTTTAAAATGGCACATCTTATTGCTTTTTCTCCTCAATAGCACCTGCCTCTTCCCCCTGACCTGTTGCCTGAGCAAGGACGCAGCTTTCCCTGGGAGCAGACAGCTTTGCTGGGACCTCATGGAGGACACAATGGGACTAAAATGCCTCCAAGGCTTGGATGGAAACACCCTGGGCGCTGGAGTGGGGCTGGCCCCTTCTCCCTGCTGCCAGCTCGTCTGGCTCCCTTCAGCACCCCTGCAATGCACACAGCTGCTGTGAGCCCTCAGGCGAACCAAAGTGGGGCGTCAGCTCTTCCCTGCCCTCATCTCCCACTCCCAGAGCTGCTCCACAGCAACCGGACTGAGGGCTGCACAGCCTTTGCCGAGTCCTTCTCAGAAATTACAGGAGCTACTTCTCTGCCAGGCCTCGATTCCTGTCTTTATCTGACATGGGTTTGACCAGGATATCCCATAGGACCAGGGCTGGGCAATGATCTTCTGAGATGCTGGATGTGTTTCTAGCCAGCATCTTCCCGCTACGCTACAAAATTTGCTTGGACCCTCCAGCAGGGATGGCAGAAAGTCCTTCTCAAGCTGCTGCAGAAATATGGACAAGCAGGACTGCTCTCCAGCCTTCTCTCTCTGTCCTCCCTCGCCACTTTGCCTCTCCCCAGCCCCAGCATCACTCCCCCCGCCGTGGGTACCATGTGACACGGTGTGTGCGCACAGCAGTGTTTAGGGCAGAGCGGTTGGAGATAGAGAGACATCAGAGGAAGAGGAGGAGAAGAGGAGGAAGGAGACAGAAGAGAAGAGGAAAGAAGAACGTTAATGTTAGTCTGGAGGGCCAGTACCACACCTTTCTGTAAACTCATATCCATCATGCGGGGGCTCATCAGCTCAATGAAGAAATTCTTGTTTTTTTCATACTCCTCATCATCAATTACCTTGATGTGAACTGTTTTGCTGTGGATGGAAAAATAGTAAGTGTCATAAAGGGGAGAAGGGAACAGAGAAGCAACAGTGGAGGAAGGCAAAGAGTTGAATCGGGACATTAGAAAGTCAAAGTTTTCTCACCCACTGAACAAGCTCAACATGGCCCTTGAGAAAGGCTAAATCCCCACTCCTGCAAGTGACACTGGCCAATTTTCTGTTTAGCCCAAAGGCAGGCCACACTGTGCAAAGTGAAGTTAGACAGAAATGGCTCAGATTCCCTGGCAAACCAGCGAGGGGCTCAGGAGCCACCAGCACGGCGGCTCACAGCTCAGCGTGCGGGCAATGAGGTCTGCTGGCCAGCAGAGAAGCAGGCATCCCTCACCCTGCTACCCACCACACGCACACACACACGCAAAAGCAGACGCACAAGCACGCGCGCCCCACAGGCACCGTGCTCCTGCCTCCCTGCTGGCAACACCCGTGGACGGGCAGATGCCCGCTGGCCGCATGGGCCGTGGGGAAACCCTGCAACCTGCAGCTCTGATGTAATTCACATTGGAGGGAACCCTAAGTGATGCGGGTTCATCAGCCGCCGAAGGGACAGCTTCATCATCCTGCTCTGAGAGGTGCTGGCTGCTGGAGCAGCTGGGCAGTGTGTCCTACGTCTCTCCTTAGGCAAATTTCTTATGAGTTCTTGGAGCATTTTGTAGGAAAAGAGAAGAGCTCACTGTGCCACGGTTTCTTTCACAGCAAATACATGCCTTATGCGGAGGTCACCATCCCTCAGCTTTTGCACACAAACAGAACAAGGAAAATGAGTTGAAGGCTCTGCCAACCCACTGCCTCCTTCCAGCCAGGGCTGCACTGTCACCTACCAAAGATGACTCCCATGCTCCCCTCACTTTCCTGGTGGCTGCAAGGCTTCATGCAGTCTCATCCCTTGTGACAGAAGGGATTGGTGCCTTTATTCCGGGCTGATCTCACACCCTCTTAAATGCAACATCGTCTGCATGTGCACTGATAAGCACATACAATTACATGCTCATATAAATGCAACTACTCTAAAGGGGCATGTGCTTGCCATCTCAGGGCTCCTGGACTTCCAGTTGGCCCCAACCCCAAGCTGGAACTGCATTTCTTAAATGAAATGTCAGTTCCATTTAAAAAGCATTTGTCTTACCCCAAAACAACTGCTCCTGAGAGCCACCAGGCCAGCTGCCCCTCCTGCCAGCGAATGACACACCTCCCCCCCGCTTCCCACAGTTTGGTACCCACACGTGGCCCTGTGGCTATGACCTCCCCTTGCTCCCTGCCCATCCTCAATGTTCAGGTCAGTCCCTGGTGCATTTTGTGCACAACTGGTCTTGGCTGGGGATGAAAAGGAGGAGAAAAGCAGGACTGGCAATCATGAAGTCTAGAAAAATAGCCCCAAGCTTCAAATCCCTATGTGCCTCAGCTGGTAGCCCTTGGCATTAAATATACCCAGTATCACTGATCCCACAGCGCTTCAGAGAATGAGCCGTCCATCCCTGCATCCTGGGGATGCTGTGATCTCCATCCTGGGGATGGTGCTTCTGCCAGCAGCCCCCGGAAAAATCACCATTTCACAATGGAGAATAGGAGGGTTGATTAATTGTCATCGCTGCAGCTTGCATTCCTACTGATATCACTAATGACCACAAAATTATCCAGCCCTCCTCCAATTTGACTCGAGTCATAACTGCTCCTGCACTCTGACTACGGAAATCCCATTCCCTGTGCTGGCCCTTGTTTTTGGCTTGGTCCCAAACCCCGTCTTTCAAATGATGGCATACAGAATAGGGGGAAGAGTTTGGACAACCTCTGCTATATCCATCAGTGCAGGAATATGCAAGAAAACTCATCTCTAATTCTTCTTTCTAAGATAAATCAGTCTTATTTTTGCCAGTGCTTGTCTACCCACATCCTGTGCTAATGCCAGCAAGCCTCCTTTCCCTTCTCCAGCCCCTTTCAATTTCCGCTAATCCAGCCTGAAGGATGTAGGATTTTAAATGATATGTCTCTGCTGTAAATGTTGGTGCTCAGCTAAGACTTCATCACGATGATTTTGCTGCATTTTCTTTGGAGAGCTTGACTGAATTTGGCTTTTGAACCAGATGTTGTCTGGGCCCCTGGTACTTTGCAAAGCTTGTTCAATTTGCTGAGTTAAACCTACAGCTGATTCATAGCTCTGATCTTTTCCTTGCTCATATACTACAAAACAGAAGGTGGGATTTTCAAAAGCAGCCAGTGCTTCCTGAATGTGGGTTGCTTCTTAAAATCCTATTCATAATTACCATTGCTTAAGGTTTTTCCATTCTAGGAGCTCCAAATTACTCAATATTGCTTGTCTGCAAAAATTTGGAAAAAACCCCACAGACCTTGTTTCCTGGGGGCCAGCTTAGGTATTGCGACAAAGCTATTCTAAGGCTTTATGCAATGACTATTATGCATGCACACCGTTTGAGTTTGCTTTCATACAGCAACTTTTCCTTTCTTTCTTTCTTTTTTTTTTAAGAGGTGGCTCTCCTGTCTCTGTGAGTGGTGTGTGCGCACACCAGAGCGGAGGAGAAGCGTTCATTTAATGAGGACATGTGCCCAACAGATGAACACAGCTGCGTGCTGTGTGTATGGAAAACCTGATTTCACGCAAGCCCCTCATCTATGCGATGAATACTCAGAGCTGTGGACTCAAGGAATAATGTCTTGCTGCATGCACATTTTGTTAAGTATAGAGAGCTCTATGCATCCTACTAAGCAGTCCCACTGCGGTGAGATTTCCTTAGAGCAGTCTTTTTTTAATGTTTAAAAAAAAAATCAAGAAAGAGGAAGAAAATGTGGTAAGGATCCATAGGGAGGATGCATGGTAAAATGCTGGCTTTGCAAAGCAAGTCCCCTTGGGACAGGAAACCGAGAGAGCAAACCTTCTGAACTCCTAGACCAGCTCAGCTCTGCTGCAAACTGGACCTTTACCACACACTCAAGCCTCAGGTGGCTTTTCAAAAAAGGGTGTCTGAATTTGGTGACCAATCCAGTAAATTCCTGGTTTCCTCCTTTGCTACGAGCCATAGGGAGAAAAGGACCTTCTACCTGGCTCTGAAACAACAGGTGAGGGGCAGAACTTCCACAGACCAAAGCTGCAGGTGCCCTGCACAGACACAGGCAGGACCTTGCAGCCCTCGCCCAACCTGACTGAATTTCAAGAGGAGCAGGTGCCCAACCTCCTCAGCTTTGCTGAGAGGTGGTGAGCACTCAGCAGGTCCACCACACTGTGAAAGCTTTGGGGACCCAGCGCAGGGGCCCAGAGGTTCTGTGCTGTGGGGACCCTGGCACCACCATGGGATGGAAGGCTCCAGCCAAACCACAGCCACTGCCTGCTCTTGCTCCAGAGCCAGCACGTTGTAAGACCTCCCCATGCAAGGAGAAAAGGAGCACGGCAGAAGTTTGCAAGGACTGTGCAGTGACACCGGGAGGTAGGTGAGGGCTCACAGACCCGGTGCCAGATAACGGGGAGCAGTTAACCTTTCGCTGGGACTTTGCGGCGGAGGGAAGAGCAGCGTCCCTGCTCCCGGATCACTCTGCAGCCTGCCAAGGATGGGGGTGTGGGGCTGGGCTTGCTCCCGTGCGGGGAAGTGTCCTTCTCTCAGCGGGCTAGTTGCTCCGGTGACTGTCACCGCAGAAAGGTCAGCACTGACGGAGGGCGATTGCGGTGGC